CCGTGACAGGCAGAGCAGGGTGGGAGGAGCAGGGGAGCCTTGCCAGCGCTGAAGTAACGAGCTCAACGTTTATAGAATGTTCTTCGCGAGAAACTGCTCTTGTTTCTGTAAGGCTGTGCTCGGACCGGGCCCTTGTATTCCTCCGCATCATTGATTCAGTGATGATCATGCAGGGAAGCAATCCTCTTCCATCCTCGACAGGCCAAGTGCTTAACATTTTTTTTTTTTTTTTTGCCTAAAAACTCTGATAATTATCTGATTTTACAAGCGAGACAGTCAAGGCTCAGAGTGTTAACTAACTTACAGTCACACAGCTGCTGAGCGGCAGAACTGAAATTCAAAGTTTGCTACGATGTGAGCCTGCTTCCCTGACCCACCTCGCTAGTGTCAGCCACACGGACTCCTGTGTCTTCAACTCCCAGAGCTGCTCCTGCCTCCAGGCCTTTGCCTGTGCCTGTCCTTCCGCCTGGAGCCTGTCCACAGGCCTCCCGTCCTTCAGTCTCCACTCACCTGTTGTCTGGAGGGGTCTTCCCTGCTCTCCTAAGTGGGTGCCCCTCACTCCCCACCGCCTCTGTATCCTTTTCTTCACAACCAGTAGCACAAGTTATAACTGTGTGTTTATTTACTTGCTGAATTGGCTCCCTGTAAAGAGCTTCCCGGAAGCCCTGTTTGGAACATCTGCTCACATCTCGTTGGTCAGAATCGTGTCACATGACCATCCCTAGTGGCCAGGGGAGTGTCGTTTTTTAGCAGGATGCATTGTTCCCTGTGTAAATGTGGTTTCGTCTGTCTGGGAGAGGGCCAGCACACTTGGTAGGTTGGGTGGTCGACTCATCCAGCTTTGCCCACACAGGGTGGTCACCCTGTTGGCAGCAACCTCCAGTCTCCGACACACTGACCGTCCTCGGCTCAGCCGTAGCAGCTGCCTAGGAGCACAGGCCAGGTTTTTGTCTGGGGCTTGACATCCAGGCACATGTGAAACATCAAACAGCCGGGGTGATGCAGTAAAAGATAATTTCACCCCAGCCCAGGTGCTGAGTTACTAGTGAGCCTAATTATTCGATACGCATCTAGAGGCTGAGGAAGTTCTGCTTCACTTAGGCGAGAAGCTGAGCTTTCAGGTTTCCTCTGGCCACTTCTCTGTTCCAGGGAAAATGTCCTCCTCTCCCTAGTTCAGTTAGGTGTTTCTTTAAGTCTGAAACTCTCGTTTGTAGTCTTCGTTAAGATGATATGATAATGGGCTTTTGCAAAGTCTCTAGAGATGGAGGAAAGATGTAGGAAATGGGAAATGCCCACCTTTGGGATAACAAGCATGCTAGGGGCCTCTTACCAACAAAAGGGGGCGGGCAGGAAGACAACGTGACCAGCCTAGACACGGCCAGCGCACAGCCCAGGCCACCTCCCGGCTCGGCCTGCTCTGAATGGTGCCATCAGCTGTGGCATCTGCATGATCATCCTGAGCTCCTTTTGTAACCGAAGCTTCCAGAGGCTGAATAATCTACTAAATTCACACAGCTAGAAAGTGGGTGCTGAGGCTGGGGTTCAAACCCACATCTGGCTGACTTCAGGCTCTGGAAAAAGCTGGTATTAGCCAACCTACTGTTTGTAGGAAAAAGGGAAATGGGGTACGGTCATCTGGCTGCACCCAGCTCTGTCTTAGCAGTACCCTTTAAACTGAAGGCAGGCAGGCAACTCCTGGCAATCACTGTTTCCCAATGCATCAGGCGATTTCAAATGCCTCACATTAAGATAACAAGTGCCATTGTAGTTCGTGTTATTTCTGCTTATTTCTCTGCTTTGCTTGGCATCCGGCGTCTCTGTAACCACCCAGTTTTTCGGGACGAATTTCACAGATTAGAAGTTGCGAGACAGGTTTTAGCACCGTATAAAGAGACCAAGGGTGACTTCCCAGCTGCAGGCTCCAGGAGTGCAGTCTAATACAGAGGCCTCCTGGAGGCCTGATGCTGCCCAAGCACTGTCACCTCTGCCGGTGCTCCTGGCTGCTAGGCACGGGCGCCTCTGGATTGGCTCTCGTCCAGTGGGCACTGTGCTGGTCATGCCTGCTGGGAACCCCACATCTCCTGATCCTGGGTCCCAGCCAGGGTACACATATGTATATCCGTGTGTGTATGTGTGTATACATGTAAGCACATTAGATCGAGTTCCAAATTCATCTGTGCATTGGTGACAGCGTCTGCCTCCCAGGGCTGTTGGGGGGATTAATGGAGATAGTAACAGTCACGTGCCTGACACAGTGCCTGGCACATATGAGGGCTCGATAAAGCCCAGCCTGAAGAGTGATGGCGAGGAGAAAGGAGGTGAGGGAGGAAGAAGGAGATCCTTTGAGCCTCAATTTCTTTAGTTAGAAAGTGGGACTGACAAGAGAACCTCTTTCATAAGATTGTAGAAAAGATTGGTAGGATGTCAGTTAGATGCTTAGCATTATGCTCAGCCTATACTAAGTGTTCAATAAATACAACCTTTTGAGTGTCAATAGACTTGTGATAATAAGCCACCTTCCTCATAATGTTGGGGTGGGAATTCAGCAACATACTGTACCTGAAGTGAATAGAAAGTGCTCAGTCCCTAGTAATGCCCCAGCGCGTAATGATTGTTATTCAGACAGAGCTGATCAGGTTCTGTTGATCAGTTTCGAAGCTGTGGCCTCAGGGGGGTCTGCGAACCTTCCTGAGAGAAGGGAATGGAAGGATCGTGCAGGCTGTGGGCTCTCTTCGGGTGAAATGGTGATGGGGGACAATGTCAGATTGTCCTGGTGGCCAGTGTCACTCTCTATACCTGTTAGTTCTCTTACCAAAGGCCAGGGAAGCAGCATGGTGACCAGGACTTGGGCAAGCCTGAGCGCTGCCCGTGGGTGGTCTCGTGCACGTGTCGCTACCCAGCCCGCTTTGACATCTGTCTTCTGTAGAGCACATGTCACCAGTTGACACTTACACAAGCCAGAAGGGCCCGGCCCACACTCATCGCCATAATAAACACATGCGGCAGTTTTTGAGCCGAGCTGTCCCATCCATCAATCTGCGTGACACCCAAAGAGTCCCTGTGGGAGAAAGGCATGACTTCACGGGGCAGAGCCTCCCAGCCAGGTGTGTGCGTCAGGGATGCTGTGCGTCCTGGGCTGCGGTGGATGGGCACAGGTGAGCTCTGGGAGTCTGTGTGTACGTGTGTGTATATGTGGGTGTGTGCATGTGCGTGCCACATGTGCATGCACATGTCTGTATATCTGTGTGCACACATACATGTGTGTCTGCATAGGCCCATGTGTGTATTGTGTGCCTATGTGCATGCATGCATGTGTGCATATGTGTGTCTATGTGCATGCATGGATGTGTTTATGCATTTATATGTATATCTGCATGTGTATGTGTGTATACATGCAAGCACATTAGATCGAGTTCCAAATTCAAACATCTCCTGGGGCTGGCAGTGTTGTCGAAATGGGATGGGATAGATAGATGCTAACTTTGGTTCTTGGAATCTAGAGGACAATAGAGAGTGGTGAGGACTGTGGCAAATGGGAGCCCATGCCCATCTGAGGCTGGCAGATGTGGCTCAGTTCCCTCCAACTGCTTTGCTGCATGTTGGAAGGCAGATCCAGGGTTACCAGATATTTCCAGTTTTCAAGATAGGCCAGAAAGCTGGACTTTTATGTGAAAGGTGCTGATTTTTAAGACTATTGTCAGCTCATCAGGGATATTTAAAGTGCCTCCTGGATCAAAGGGAACACACACAAGGCTGGAACTTGGCCTATGGACCCCCAGTGGAGTGTAGGTTTTCTCTGGTGGGAAAGGGCCTGTTCTACGGCTGGGCCATTCCCAGAAACCCCTGCATTGACCCGGAGCTGTAGTCCTCAGTGAAGCAAGTTTGCCAAATGGAGGGACATTTGGCAATGTCTCAAGACACTTTTGGTTGTCAAAACTGGGTGGTGGTGCTGGTGAGTTGGAGGGTTTAGTACTGGCTGTCAGTGGGCAGAGGCTGGGGATGCTGCTAAAGGACAACGCCCAAGACAGCCTCCTTCCCACCGTGGCCACAAGCAACCTGGTCCCAAGTGTCAGTAGTGAGAACCTGCCTAGAGTCATGGGAAGGTGGCTTGCGACAGCCAGCTTTGTCTGCCAGAAGTCCTACCTCTTGAGCAACGGCCTTTAGGGGTTAGTTGTGTGACCAATTGGAAATCCACCCAAAAAGATGGATTTCTGGCTGAGGCCTGCCCGAGTGTGCCTTCCCCACATGCTGGCTTCTGATGGTGTTTCCTGTGCACAACCATGCGCGCGCGCAGACACACACACACACACACACACACACACACACACACACACACACACCACACACGGAAGTTGGCTAAGCCTGGATTGTAACTTGGGGCAGTCTGTCTCCCAAACCTGCTCCCTCATGCCAGGGCTCCACTGAGAAAACAAGGACTGAAAAGATTTTATGTCTTCTTGCACATGAGTGTGTGAACTCACTGCTCTCTCTGCCTGCAACAGTTTTTGCCTAGAAAACACAGTTCATTTTTCCAGGCAGAGCTTGCAAAGCGCCTTCTCCAGAGAGCTTCCCCTGGCAGCTGAGACAGGGTCCCTACACCAGTTAGATCATCGTCGCTGACATAGACCATCTCTCATAGATCATCTCCCCTCTCCTGCGACCGCTTCAGGTTCTGTCTTAGTTAGTATTCAGCGAGCATCTGTCATTACTGTGCTCTCAGCACTGACTAGGTATCTTTGAGTGATCGGATCAATGAATGGTGGGCGTTTCCTTGCTTCTCGTGTTAGCTTAATTTCTGAACTTTGAAGTGCATTGTTGAGTCTTTATGATGAGCCAGGCAGGCACTGCTCTAAGTTCTTTACGTGCATTAACTTGCTTAATGCTTGCAACAGTCCCACGAGGCAGGTATTCGTGCCGTCCTCGTTTATTCTCATTTTAACTTGTCAGACAAAGAGAAGTTAAGGCACTTGGCCAAACTCACACAGCTCGTGACAGGAACTTCCCCAGTGGCTGCTGTGCGTACACTGACTTCTGCAGGCCTAGGGATAGAGCTGAGTTCTGTGCTTGTCCTCACTCTCTGGATCCCCTGGCAAGGGCTTGGTGAGCTGTTATTACAGGCATCAAATAACCATTTCACTGAACATCTACAACGCGGAAGGCACTGACTACATGAGGTGGTTTTATGTTTCTTTGGTTTTGCATTTTTTATTTAGATATTTGCCTGTTTATATCTCACTTAGTATATTTGACTTTTTTCTTATTGATTAACAATTGCTCTTTATATAAGGCTCTAAACCATACATTTGTCCTGTTTTACATATTTTCCATAATTTTACAAATTTTGTTTTCTCAGCTTGTTTATTTTATGTGCTGTTCAGTTTTTAATTTTAATTTTAAGTAGTCAAAACTGTTCTTTAAAGTGTCAGTCTAAAATGCCACACCTTAAAACATTCTTTCCATCCCCAAGATTCTAAAATATTCATACCTATTGATTTAGTCCTTTTAGTTTCATTATTTTATTTATATATTTGCATTTTAATCTATGACCCACCAGGAATGAATTTTAGCATATGGTGTGAAACAGGACTCTCACTTTATTTTTTTTACTAGGTCTACTTGTACATTATCCGTAAAAACTCATGGAGGGCACCTTTGACTAAAATAGGCAGCCACAAGCTTTACAGTGTCCACCGGAGCAGCTCAGCTTGTAAATCACATTGTCTTTCAGTTGCCTAATATATATGTAACAAATTTGTATATAGAACAACCAATCAGTGGATGTGGTCACATGATTCTGAAATTTTGAAAGATGAGTTTCTTAAGGCATTTTCTTGAAGGGGATGCAGTTATGTCAGCCTCTGTCATTTGCCCATTCCACAGACATCACTGCACTGAACCCACCCCCCTTCTTGACTGGCAGATGACTGCTTTATTCGCATGACTGGCAGACCTCCCTGATGCATACTAATTAAAATCCTGTGATATCAGTGTTGGTGATCTGATGAGCAAAGGTGAAAGAGTTTGCTGATTCCTGATGTTGGCAGATATGAGGGAAGAGGACTGGTCCCGCTGGTTTGAGCATGGGAATGGGTGGGAAGATGCTAGTGGAGGGACACCGGGGTGTGCTGCGGGTGCTGCGTGCCAGTCACTGTGCTGTGGGTTTTGCATTCATCGTTTAGGCCTCATAACCACCTGAAGAGGTGGGAACTATTATTCATTCATTTCACAGAAGAGGACACTGAGATACAACGAGGTGAAGTAACCTGCCCAAGGTCAAGTATTTATTAAGTGTCAACCAGGCCGCCAGCTTATCTGTTCTGCAGCCTTGCAAAAGTTTGCAGCAAAAGCCTTCAGGGCATGCTTGCTCATAAACCCAGCAAGTCCCTGTCAAATTGGTGCCAAGGGAAAAATGATGGGTGGGCAAACGGATTTTGGACAAGAGTACGTATCTTCACAGGGTTGTTTTTAACTGCGAAAATTTGGAAATAAGCTAAAAATCCATCAATAGAAAATCAGTGAACTTTATTACAGTCTTTACATATCCTGGATCATTATATAGCTTTTAATGAATTATAAAATAAGCATACTCTTGATACATATAATTCCCCATATGTCATCACATGTACAGAGCAGGTTACCAATTATATATATTGTATGATGTAACTTTTGTTATTTTATTATTATTTTTAATCCTCACCCAAGGATATGCTTATTGATTTTAGAGAGAGGAGAAGGGTGGTGAGAGAGAGAGAGAAAAATTGATTGATTACCCTCTGTACACTCCTCAACCAGGGAGCTAACCTGCAACCTAGGTATGTGCCCTGACCAGGAATTGAACCCACAACCTTTCAGTGTATGGGACAACACTCCAAGTAACTGAGCCACCCCACCCAGGGCTAATATTTGTTATTTTAAAAATATAGGCATAGAAAACCATGGAGGTCTGCGGAGCCCGTGCGTCAGTCTCAGTGCCGCTGACAGTGAGCTGGATACCTCTCTCTGTGGGGCTGTGCCTCTTGTAGGATGGATGCTTAGCAGCATCCCTGGACTTTACCTACTAAAGCCAGTGATATCCTCCTCACACCTTCACCCTTTCAGGTGTCACAGCAAAGTCTCTGGTCATTGTCAGCTGTCCCGTGGGGGACAATATTGCCCTGTTGAGCTGCGGGCAGGTTGTTAGCATCACCATCAGAGCCGGGAGCTGCCGGCATAAGCAGTGGGGCTGTTTATCTAACAGCTGGGTAAGGGAGGAGCAGGGACATTAGGCCATGCTGGGCCCCCTGCCCAAGACCTCCCGTGTCCCCTGGTCTCAGCCAAAGTTTCCCCTCCTCCGAGAGGCCCCTCTTTCGGAACAATGCAACTTTAGTTGGTTGAGTGGTACCTCCCAGACTTACATCCACCCAGAACCTCAGAATGGGACCTCATTTGGAATAAGGGTCTTTGCAGGTGTAATTATAGTAAGAATCTTGATATAAGATCATCCTGGATTAGAGTGACCCTAAATCCAATGACCAGTGTCCTTGTAAGAGACAGAAAAGGAGAAAAAGCAGTGAGATGTGGGGGAAGGCCTTGTGATGATGGAGGCAGAGATCGGAGTGGTGTATCAGCAGGTCAGGGAAGCCGGTGACCCCCGCGAGGCATGGGAGGGTGTCTCCCTCAGAGCCTTTACAGAACCAGTTCTGCCAACACCTTGATTTCAAACTTCTGGGCTCCAGAACTGTGAGAAAATACACTTCCGTTGTTTTAAGCCATCAAGTTTTGTAGTAATTTGTGATGGCAGCCTCAGGAAACGAATATAGCGTTCCTGCCTCCGCATCTGGCTACGACAGCTGCGGCAGAGTGGCTTGAAAAGGTTACTTCTGCCCCAAGCGTCTGCTTTCTCAGCTGTGACCCGGGGCTTTTAGCCACATCTACACGAGGGAGGGTAGAGAGGGAGCAGCAGCCAGTATTGCAGTCACAGTGGTAATGGTATTTCATCATATTAATGCCTTCCCAAATATTTTACATACACTGAGCATCAGATCTCTTATCAGAAATGCTCAGCATCTCTGCCTCTCATTTCAGTCACACACTAGCTTGTGTTCATGGCTTACTCGCTATTGGCCCCAGTTTCCCAGTCCATAAAATGGGCATGGTGAGAGCACCTGCCTTGTGGATTGTTTTATGTAGCTCAGTCCTGTGCCTGGCACTTAGTAGATGCTCAGTAAACTCAAGCTACCATTCTTACATCTGGGATGGGAGCCTAGTGAATCGTTTCTGTGGAGACCAGCTCCTCTGGGGTTGCCTTCCCAGCCCTGGCGTTTCCCAAGGGTAGAGGAGAATTCCCGGGGACCTTGGCAGACCCCCCAGGGCAGGAGGGCTGGCAGGAGGGACAGCCCCATTTCATCTTGGCATAAGACAACTTCCTGGTTCAAAGACTAAAGGCCTTTGTAAAAAAGGAGAGAAAAAAGGGCCCTTGGACATCAAATGCTCCTCACAAACACTGTTTTGATGGGTTAAACGTAAATGAATCCGAAACACATGGATTAAATTTCTCCCGGAGGGCTTAGAAATTAAGGGGGAGGAAAAGGGAGTTGTCTCGGGCCAAATGCGTGCTGATTTTTTCCAATCTCCAGAATCTTTGGGAAATAATTGGAGACATGTCCTCACACCCCAACTAGTACAAAGCTGTACCTTTTTTTTTTTTAATTGCTGTTATGACTCACTGTTGAGTTGGTGATTATTTTTATCCAGTTAATGAAGGTAATCTATAAATTACCACTGACCCAGATTCATGATTTAATAAGATTTAAATTACACACCCATGCTCACTCAGAAGAAGCGGGCTGGAGCCTCTTTCTGAACTGAAGGCATGCATCTGTCTCTTCTCAAAGGCCCAGAAGCTCAGATGCTCTCCCACCGCCCCCTTTCCCCCATCTGAGCGCATGGCCTATGCCGTGTGATATTGGGGCCACCTGGCTGGCTTCCAGGCCCTGTGACTGCACATGCTCTGCGGGTGTTGGCTTTGGGCTCAGTAAAGACACCAAATGGGGACCCAGAAGACAACCACCTTGCTCTCACCTCTGTACCCTCGGCTGACCTCCAGCTGCTCTCTGGGCCTCAGTTTCCCCCTCTATGATATGACAGATTATTGGCCCTTAAGGGGTTTCTTAGCACTGATGTGCCAGGCCTGGATTTCCCAAAGTGTGCCCTGTGGAACCCTGGGCTCTTGAGATGCTCTGTGGAGAAGGGCTCCATCCTCACGCATGTTTGAGCATGGTCACAGACTCAGCCCATTTGTTGATTCACATGGCATGCCAGTGGGCTCAAGGTCAAAGTCAAGGTCATTGCCGCCTCTCACCCTGCCAAAGCTGAAGCTCTCCTGGTTTAAAAGCCAGGTCAGGACTGACGCTGCCTTCCCAGCTCCTCTAAGGGCTCCTATTGTCCTTAAAACAAAATCACACTCCTAAGCTTGCAAGACCCTAGGGATGGGCACCCAGAGCCCGCTCTGTCTATGGACAAGGGACCTGGCAGTCACACAGGCCCTTGCTCAGAGGACCCCAAGCCGAATTTAACGCTTGTTGTCGCTGTCCTGGGATTCTTAATAAGTTTTGTCCAGAGGGTCACATCTAAATCTTGCTCTGGACCACTGGGATCATGGAGCCAGCAGTCCTGCCCTAGGCGCAGACTCACCTTCTGTCTGTGCGTGAGGCCAGGCTACGTTTATCAACATTCTAGACATGGGTTTAAAAGAGCCCCATGAGGAAGTGAATGTGCAGAGATCACAGAGGTGCTTCTCAAGATAATGCCAATTAGGGAAAAGATCAGCCACACTCCTGCGGCCTTTAGACTTCCCTGGTGTGTGACCTTATTGGCAGAGCCTGGGTCTTTGCCCTCACAGCTGAGTTTGAAAGTGTTCCAGTTTACCCCCTCGCCTTTGAGGAGGAGACTAAGCCCCGGCGCCCAGCTGGCGGCAGCTCCTCACGGTGTCTTTTTTCCTGCGCTGGCTGCGAGGGTCCTCCGAGGAGCCTGCAGCGGGCAGAGGAGGCTGGGGGTATGTTAACGAGCAGCTTTTTTTATTTCTCATGAAGAAAGGCACTTGTGGTGGTCAGGTTAGGGAATGCAGGTCATTGGAAGGCGAAAATCAGCACCATCCATCACCCACCTCCAACCCGAGGAGAGACATTTGGGGCCT